GAACAAAACCGTGGCAACTACAGCCACTGTACGACAAGTAAACAGTCCTTACAGCTGACAATGATGATGGGGAGAGCCTGTTGTGGTACATACATTGCGAGGTTTTGACATGAAATTTTCTACGGAAAATCTTAGGCCCTGGTCGGGCTTTGCGAAAGTCGCGACTCTTTGATAGTTTGACCAACGATTTCCAGTGCACGATCGAACTTGTGCTCGCCTAGCTTTAGCAGTGATCTACGTTGTTCAGCTCTAGTACCCTTCCGGTGCCTAACTACCATGATACCCGAAGGAGCGAAGTGAAGTTGGATATTGCCAGGTCGCGCAAGTCTAGACAGGGGAAGTCGAGTGGCAGAGGTCGGGTTCGAACCACGGACCTTCAGTAAATTCGGCGGTCAAACAATGACTTGGTAGCGAAGTTGGATATTGCCAGGTCGCGCAAGTCTAGACAGGGGAAGTCGAGTGGCAGAGGTCGGGTTCGAACCACGGACCTTCCGGTCAGTAAATTCGCGCTCTTACCACTTGGTCCATCTCGCCCCCTCCAGTTCGTTGCACGTCACACTCTTTTCGCACCTCCCAATTTTAGGTGTTTCTCGTAGACTGCTTTTTCCACCATTCCAACGATCGTATACCTTTTCTCCGAAATATCCACTTTGAGTTTATATCCTGAAAATTAGCCCTCAGGGATTCTCAACTTGAATTGAATTGTCACGAAAAAATGCGAGACTCTTGAACACTTTCTTTTGTAAACTGACCTTTCAGTGGATCATGGACTTCCTTGGTTGCAATATGATGGGTATATGGCTTGGAATGAAGACGCTGAATTACCTCAGTATTAAGCCCTATCACTGGCGAGGAATGTGGAAAATTTCAGGATACAAGTAAGCCACCTCTGTTCAATTTTCCGAAACATCACCTCTGCTATGTTCCTCCGTTTTTTTTTGTTTCTGTTTGGGTGGGGGGATCTTCCATGGACGGGGCATTATACCTCACCTTGCTCGTTTCGTCTTGCAAGCATTAGTATGGTTAGCTGTTGTCTTTTGTAAGAAGCCTAGAGGTCAGGTAAATTTATTCCTTTTTATTCTCCAATCAGCCATGTCGCTACCGCTACCTATACTGGCCAATCGCGCATAGCAATTCGATGTAGATTTCTGGCGCTAACATCAATCAAAGTTTACCAAACCTCGCATCCGGTAGTTTGGTTGGTTATCCATTTGGGCAACCTTTAACTGGTGGTCTATAGCCATATTTCGTTAGTTAATAAGTGGACTTCTAAAGCTAGCGTGCCGTACGTTACCTAAAAAGCAAGGTAGAACACGATTTCAGACCCTTCATAATAATAATGGCAGTAATCTTTCGGCTGTAACACCTTTTCGGATCATAGCCGCCGTGCCACCCGAAGGAACTGGGAGGGCTGATATACTGCCAAGTTGCTCAAGCCTGGACAGGAGCCGTCGAGATGCAGAGGTTGATTCCGAACCACAGACCTTCCAGTCAGTAGTTTCACGGCGTAGTCACTAAGCTATCCATATGTTGGAGATCTTTCATTGGGCCCCACAGACCACTCCAGATGGGTTGACAAGGGTCTGTTTACTGCACAGCTGTGTTGTGGTTCCAACTAAACTGATTGCTTCACTGTCATGAATTGTACTACTCGGCTTGTATCCCAGAGAATAGCTGAGCATCTGCTTTGGAACCGAAAAAGTTAAACACGAGTAACACACGAGTGTAACTTAAAGTCACCCTATTGATACAAACCACCAGGATAACCACGGCCAACCGTTCAGCTTGATCTGTCGCAGCCCTTCCACTCAGTAGTTTCACGGCTTAGTCACTAAGCTATCCATATGTTGGAGATCTTTCATTGGGCCCCACAGACCACTCCAGATGGGTTGACAAGGGTCTGTTTACTGCACAGCTGTGTTGTGGTTCCAACTAAACTGTTTGCTTCACTGTCACGAATCGTACGACTCGGCGTGTATCCCAGAGAATGGCTGAGCATCTGCTTTGGAACCGAAAAAGTTAAACACGAGTAACACACGAGTGTAACTTAAAGTCACCCTATTGATACAAACCACCAGGATAACCACGGCCAACCGTTCAGCTTGATCTGTCGACTGCCACCTAGGCTTTTGAAGGTCATCCGCAGAAACGAACTCTAAACAGGTTGGATATTGAAGCCAGACCGCTCCTTTTCAATCAGAAAAGCACTTGAAAGTACAGGCTCTGGATTGCTCAGCCGATGACCCCTGTCGGAGAGCAGCTCAAAGGTCCAATTGAATGCTAATTATTTTCTAGTTTTAACCAGCAGATTCTCTGTTACTAGATGTTTGAAGCAGTCAGAGTCATGGAATTCAGTACGCAAAGTCGAGGGAACCGCGTGAGTCCTACACATGAGAGTCAATAACAGGGAGTCACGAAAACATTGTTTTTACCTCTAGGGATGGTCGTTCAGCCTAGACGTGTTTTTGTGCACAAATTAAGGAAGGACCGAAGATCGGGTTGCTCAAACTTGAACAAGATCAACCGACGATGCAGGATTGAGTTCTAACCACGGATCTTCAGTCAGCCGTTTCTTAAATACTTAATTTTGCAGCATGGTACGAGTAGATAAGATAGAAATGTATCAAAACGGTCGACATCCGACGGGTAATAATTAGAGGAACAGAAAAAAGCAGGATGATTAGCATATTTGAAAAGTTCACCCAAGCGAATGGTCTGGTGATCATGTGTATGGCATCTGATATCGACGGGCCTATCGTGCTTAGCTTGGCGACCTTAATGTTAGACAACAGAAGAAGATATGGCAGTCCACGAATGAACCACCATGCTTTTTTGTCTTATTCATTGGGAGAGGAGGGATTTTTCGGTTCCATATAGTGTTGAAGAGTGAATCGATGATGGCGAGAAAATATTGCACGGAAAAGTATGCATGGGGAGAGGTGGTCTAATTGGTTAGGGCGCGAAATTACTGACCGAAAGGTCCGTGGTTCGAACCCACCTCTGCATCTAAACTCCCCTGTCTAGGCCTGGGCAACCTGGCAGTATCCCAGCCCCCGTGCTTCCTTCAGGTGGCGTGGTGGCTAGGCATCGGAAGGGTGTTACTGCTGAACGATTTTTTACGACGCATGTTTATCTAAGTCCCCCAGTTCGATTCTTGTTTGAATTACGGTCAGTTTAGACTGTTCTCCTGAATCAGGAATAATAGCAAGCTAGTCTGGAAAAGAACGCTCAATCGAATTAGCGGAACGTGGTCAAATGACTTACGGGTCATCCATATATTGGAAGTATTCATAAATCGCCGGTCCGCCCCATAGAATAGAGAATAGCAGTCGCAAGAAACACAGAATGTGTGGAGGGGGTACCCAAAGTACGTATTTTAAGTAGAACGTATTCAATTCTGTTAGGAGAATCTGAAAGAAAGAGAATAGCAGAGAAACGGTCATGGTAAGATTCGGCTTTGAAATGAATAAATAAATAAATAAGAAAATAAACATGGTGGAATTTCGATTCTGTATTTTGTAGGATCCTCGGATGCACAGGCACACGAGGCCTGTCCGCCTTACTGGGGTACAACAGATGGACCGGATATATGAACCACTGGTGTTATCCATAACCCGTTATTAGTAACGCGTCCACCAAACAAATTCGAACAAGATGCGAAGTTTTGTTTTGGTACAATAGTGGTTCAAAAGTTTGAGAACCTTCGACAGAACACTGACGGTTCCGTTGAATCTCATCCAGTGGGCCAAGTCCAACATTCTTATTTCCTAAAGTAAAACACTAAATTGTAAATGGATTAAATAAAATAAATAAATAAATCGTTAAGATGTAACACCTTCCCGGTTCCTAGCACAAGAGCGGGGATACTGCCACGTTACCCAAGCCTAGACAAAGGTCGAAATGCAGAGGTCGGGTTCGAACTACGGACTTTCTGGTCCGTAAACATCAAGACTGTCTGACAGAAGATGCAGAACGTAGTTGGTTGCTTCCAGTGAGTTAGTCACCTCAGGAATGAACTCTGGGGAGACCACAGCAAGCTACTGATCAAACCAGGTACCTTGTAAGAGATGGACAGAAACCTAAACTTTCAAAGTATTGAGGTGTGTGCGTATTTATTTGCCCTATTTCCCCGGTGGAATAACCAACTAGCGGCGATTCTGAGTACGAAACATAACCGCAGCAATTGGTACAAATACAGAAAAACTTGTCCGAAGTTCATCCTTCCACCCCAAGCGGATAACGCGCGATGAATATGCCGAAATACCCATTTATTCAGAACGGTAAGAAGACAACAGATGAGATGGCATCATTTTCCTGCTTCTTCTTCAGTTGTGAACGAACGTCACATACATATAAGTGGTCATGAAAGGGAGGGTGATTTAGGGAAATGAGAATACGGCGCTGGTTGCTCCAAGGAATTCGGTAGTAATTTACTGAGTACCATAATTACAGCCGGGTCTTTTCAAACAGGAATCGTGGAAGAGTGCTTTGTAGTAGATGGCATAGTTGGTAGGTGACGAATGATGGCGTAACTGATAGACGGCGTAGATGGCAGAGACCGGCATCTTGTTAGTGATTAGCGGTCAAATGGACTGGGATGGACGTGGCGGTATAGCAGGCACAGTGTCCTTTAAGCACGCTGTGAACTGCTGTCTGTTATCGACGAATACACGATCCACTCAGAAGGGCAAAACGTGTTTTGTGTACAGTCGAAGCGAGATCCCCATAGCTTTGGGAATCGAACAGCTGAACGAGTCACCAGAATTTTGCTTCAGCAGTCTCACTTCAGCCTATTCAATAGTTTGGCTTCTCAAGCTCCAGACAATTAGACAACGAAAGTGACATGGAAGTTGTTTCCTCCACAAGTCAAGTTGGTCACGGGTAACTCAGCTGGTCGCAGTCAGTAATTCACAATTCCGGTACACAAACCCTCAAGGTCTGCATTTAACGACACTGAACTGATTCAACTAGCTTTCATACAAGGGAAGTTTTGAGTCACAAGTGGGCTTGGGCTCCGATCCACACTCCGTGTATTTTGAGAACTATACCAGATTGTCGAACCATGTTTGTGCACGTGCTATGTTGACGAGTGATGAAAGGGCAAGTGCTACAATCGAATTACTTGTGTCGCTCCGTTCCGATTCAATTTATCAATGGGACTGAAAGCCATAAATAGCTGTTCGACCTGAAATATGGTGGGCGGAGGAATTCGTGTCTGTTTAGACCCCAAAGTGTGGCTGTTGTAAAACGCAATCAACACTGTTTTGAAATTATGAGAACCATGCCAATTTGCCATGTAATAATTGCCAGTTATGTATGAGAACTTTTGTCTGTGGTCCACCATTTCAGCCCCTGATCTACTGTCTGCACAGGTGGGATGCGGGTTCCAGCCGAAAATGGGCTAAGGCTAGTTCAACTACTGTGGGGTATTTCAGTAGCGCAAAATAGTACGCGCCGAACACCTGCATCGACTAGGGACACAATAATGACGTGTTGTCTAATGTCGTGTTGTCTATGCTTATTTTAGAGAATTTTAATTCTGGTTTTCCAGTAATCATACGACATTGTGGGAAAATCAATAACAATCGCGATACTAGCGAAGGATGGTTTCAAATATCGTCAATGGACAAATTTTCCCAAGGCTGCGACAACCAATTGCGACAACCGAAATCGGAAGACATTGTCCAGCACAAACAACCGATTCCAAAGTACAGCTGAACATTCGAGCACCAATTACTTGTAGTGCACATTGGTTGCTCATTGTCACCTTTTATTGAAAACCAAAAAAGGAGCATATTACTATCATCCTTAGACGTGTTTATGTACTGGATAACTTCAATCCGAGTAATATAACAACGGTGTCTGCTGGTTGACTAATGCTTATCTCTCTTATCTCACGTGACCCGCACTGGTTTCTTTTTGGTGACTCACATAACCAAGATAAAAAAATGATGGCCTGGCAATTAGGAACGCTGAGTGAGGAAGTTCATTATGTGGCAAGATGTGAATACGCGCGGCTTCAATCCCGGTAAGGACAATAAGCGACTGCGAAGTGTGCCACAGTACTTGAGGAAAACTTGTGGAAGGAAAATTTCCGAACTTTCCATGTTAATCCCACAAAGAAAAAAACAACCGCCCAATCACCAATCAAAGGGACTTTCTGGTTTCCGAAGACGTCCAGGAAGAAGTACAGTTGTCGGATGTGACCGACGCCATGGATCCAGATGACGAAGACTCATGAGTATTGTTCACGTTGGCCATTTTTCGCTGACATCCCTCAATTACCGGTAGGCACCAGTACTGAATGATTACAGCACTTACTTCGGTAACATTTCTGCGCACATGCCTTCCAGGCCGCTTGAACGAGTTCGACATCGGCACACACAAAACACGATACCAAGTAAACACTGAAACCGCTTTCTACGAGGTAGTCTCAAGGTGACAGTGGGACTAGAATGTTGGACACTACAGAAGCCGCAACTGGACCCGAGTAGTGCAGCGAAAGCGGTTGATATGAGTGCCTTTCTAGCCCAACTAATCCATCAGCAAATACAACAAAACTAGATGACGATCAACAATGCTAACTCTGGTTCTCAAATTGATCTCCGTGCTGAATTCAATGACATCTCCGATTCCTAAAACATCTGATTGGTTTTTCTAATTGGTTGAACGTTTAAATCTTGTTCGGCATGCATATGCCAGTGAATGACACGTCCATTAGAAGTTTCCAAACAATAGCTGTTGGACTACTTTATTCGTTTTTTATCCAACGGCCGCAACACACCTGATGTGTGTATTAGTAAAAAATCGGACCTTACAGCATACGAAAATAGGTCTCCGGATTGTTTTAATCGACTGGAACAACCCAGATCACAGTTCATTAATAACAACTGTTCAACTGTAACACATCCTTTCGGTCCCCAGTGACGATGCCACCAGAAGGAAGCACGAGGGCTGGGATAGTGCCAGTTTGCCCAAATCTTGTCGGGTTCGAACCACAGACTTTCCAGTCAGCCATCTCGCCCCAAAATCACAGTTTAGAACCTCATACGAATATGCAAACCAAATCGATTTCCACACCGATATTTCACAAAGTATGTGCACATTCTTGGTGAATGTTAGATGCTGAGAATAATTTTTCACTGGAAATCGAAGAATCAGACAGAATAGCCTGGCCTAGAAATTCCAACTAACCTGACTTTCCCATAGGTCGGGAAGTAAAAAAAAGTCATGATACACGTGACTAAAAACGCGTTCTGGCACGAGAGACATTTATGTGTCAGTAGAATGGATAAGCTGCAGAGGGTGGGAGTGTTCCTTGAGGTCTTGAATATGGATTTGGCGTTGCAAGTGAAACAGATCGATACGGAAACATGGACAGACATTCCTAGTTCTAGAGAGTTGTTAGCAGTGGGCATTTCACAAATCACCGGAGGGATTATCATCCGTGGCCTTCTCGACGGAAGTTCGAATACTACACAGATCAGCTATGGTTGGCTGGTCAACGATGAAATCAAAAGGTATACAAACAGGACGTCGTCCATTCACGAGAGTCGCGTCACGCAGCTCGATACCGACGGGTGCAGAGAAAGCACCATACGTGTGTCCAGACTTGTGCTCAAAACGATAATCCACTTTTCTGAACCATTTGATTCTGGCATTGTATTTATTTTATTAAGGTGCGCGTAAATATTGTAATCACCAACAATCTTAAAAAACAAACATTTGTTAGTGCTTGTCACCAAGTGGTTAGAGCGCGAATTTACTGACCGTGGTTCGAATCCGGCCTCTGCCTCTCGACTTCCCCTGTCTAGGATTGGGCAACCTGGCAGTATCCCAGCCCTTGTGCTTCCTTCGGGTGGCATGGCAGTTAGGCACCGAAAGGGTGCTACAGCTGAACGATTTTCGATTTGTCACCTTCTAACTAGGAAGTTCGTTTCATTACAATGAGAGCCCGACGTGACATGTCAGAACGAGGCAATAACTCAACTTCAGTCGCCCTAAATCCAACCCCAAAGCGCTTCTGTTCATCTTACACCATTCGGGTACCAAAACCCATGAACGTGGTCCACTGAAGTCCAAAGTCGGTTGGCCATTTGAGGAATCATCCAATAGCACAATGGCCAAGTTGCGTTAACGCATCGAACATAGCCACAGACGCAGTCTTACAACAATTTGTTCAAGATGAACACCAACCACTTGGGTTCTTTTCATCGAAACTATCACCTACAGAATCTCGCCGCAGCACTTTCGGTCGAAAGTTGTTCACTACTTACTCATCCATTGGCCGTTTTCTTGATCGATATTTTTTGTTTTTACCGACAACAAGCCTTTGACGTTCGCCATACAAACCAAATCCGACAAATATTCGCCCCACGAATTACGTCATCTTGATTATATATCTCAATCCATAAACAACATTCACCATATAGCATGGAATCTCAGCGTCGTCGCTGACACCTTGTTTTGTTCGGCAACTGACCTACTCCATTCAATCCTGCAATCGATCTGCAGCATATGGCTCAGCTGCAAAAGGATGAGCCCAAGACCTGTCGTTCGATGTGCAATGAGCTGACTTGTTTTCGATGCTCTGCATAATGTTTCACACCCTGGTATACGTGCAGTGGTCAAACCCATTTCTCAACGTTTCACATGGCCAAATCGTTATGCTGTAGCACCTTTTCGGTGCCTAACTGCCATGCCACCAGAAGGAAGCACGAGGGCTGGGATGCTGCCAGGTTGCCCAAGCCTGGACAGGGAAGGCCGAGAGGCAGAGGTCGGACCCGAACCACGGAACTTCCGGTCAGTAGATTCGCGCTCTTACCAGTTGGGCCATCTCGCCGAATATGAACAAAGACATCCATTCATGGGCGAAAACGTTTCTCAAACGTCAACATTTAGAGGTCATCCGCCATATACACTCATCCGTCAGTACCTTTCCCACCCCCGATCATCGCAGGTTCAAATCACTTGCTATTTCATCAACATCTACTTTTCGTTTTTGCTGATAACCAGCAAAAAGCGGCATAGTTGTTTCATTCTGGTTTTGTTAGATTAGCAGTGTGTCGGTTCTAAAGGAGCCCTGGGACATTATGTCGCTGGCCAAGAGACAGGAATGGATAGTGCTCTGCTGTCTAAGGTAAGTCTGATTAGTCCTGATTCTTTGCTGTGGCTCTCAGTCGAGATTTCGTCCCGTAAGTGAAGTCAGCCCATGCTAAAAAGCCATGAATCGCCGTACAGCCTTGTTGGGAATCAACAGCAGTGGGTAGCTCACTCGAAGAGTTTCGAGGTCGCACGGTCAGCGGTCGAACATCGAACCGTTCGGCTACGAGCGACTGATCAGAAGCGTGAGTACTTCGCACTTAAACAGAATATGGAGACACACATCCTTCAATTACAGAAGCCACATCACGTTAACATGTACTGATTGACTGGTTCCTCGAGAAACGGTTTCTCAAATTGAAGGTTAACTCGTCCAGTGAAGTCCATCCACCCCTTTAGCTACTTCAACAATGTTGGCAGTATGAAAACGCTTGCGAAATTTGATTTAGATTTTGTCCAGCTGATTCCACATAAGGATGGAACAACTGTACGGTACTTCTCGGCGCTTCAGCACAGATTGGATCTACTTATAAGACGAAGTAACCAATAAAATTGCAAAATCTCTTGACACAACCAACAAAAAATCAATAAGCTACTAGTGACGTCACAAGTAAAGCAGCTCTCCGGTATTCCGACTAGTTTGATCATCTAAACCAGCGTCTGGGTGGAGGATGGTACCGCTTGAACGCAGCGCTTCTAGGTACGGATCGATGGCCTGCGGCAGCACAATAACACCGAGTGACCAGAGGTGGACAAACACATACGACTCTGAATGAATTCTTGACATAACATCTTTTAGAAGGTTGACGATAAATCTGCGGCCGAGCGCGACATTAATAGACAAATCTAGGTCGACAAACGACTGATCGCTACGAGGTGAGAAAACAACTTACAACGGCACACAAGATTAATGTACCAAGCCAGCGTTTGAGGCTTCCAGTCGGACGCCAATCGAAGTCGGTCCAACGATGCGGTGTGAACTGGAGTACCGCCCGGCGCAGTTTGCGTCTTGGAACGGTGAAATGAAAGAAAACTGGAAATCATGATGAATCAATGAAACTCCCACCCAAAAGTTATATACACAAGAGTTCGTTAGCTGCAAAAGAAGTAAGTTATCTACGAAGGTAACAAGAGAACGTCGTCAATTGTGAGTAATCCCATTCGTTCATTGTTACCTCGTCAAACAAGGCTTTCGGCAGCACAAAGCGTGAGGAAATCGTTAAACTTTGCATCGACCTCAACTAGATCGAGGCTTTTCTATTGGCCAGCAGCGGTTATTCCCTATCCCGAGAGGGATTCTTCCAGGGAGATAGACAGACTTCACAGGAATAGTAATACGACAATTTCTACAGAACCCTGTATCTATAATTCCTATTCTGCACCTTCTTTTAGAAACACAACGATTTCGTACCGCCAAAAAGTAATGATAGTAATCATTCAGTCGTAACACCCGTTCGATGCCTAGCTGTCACGATACCCGGAGGAACGATGAGAGCTGAGATACTGCCAGGTTGCCCAAAGACACACAGGATAGTTAGAGATGCCGAGGTTGCTGGTTTATGAGCCTTAACATCGAGCTACCCTGAGCTTACCGTCACTGATACCGACAGCGGACGGCGATTTCTGAGAAGTTGGCAGCTGGCCGCCGCGCCTGGACACAATCTATTCGAGACCTTTGAGGCGGACTAATACTGCACCAGGAGAAAGCTACTTTAAGGATAAATATGTTTCACACCTCAGTTATGTCCCAAGAAACGCGAAAATCACCCAAATCAAAGGCGACGCTCATTAATGAATGAAGTCGCAATCTTAAAACATCACGATTCGAGTACATCACAATCCCGCATGCAATATACCCCTCAGAAAGAGCCACTGATCACATCAATCCGTGCTACAACGTGTCCGCAGGCAGCGGTAGCCTTCAGGAGCTTCGAGCGCATAAACTTAAACAAAAGAACAGGAAGGTGAGTGAATAAATAATTATCGCCAAGCATTTTCAAGGTGTGATTTTCTAAGTTGGAGGCGAGGTACACATTTCGCAACAGTAGGAAAACGCGAATCTGACCTGATTATAATTTTCACATTCGCCTACCTCTTGCCTCCATGTACTTTAGACCTTTACACATTTCCTATTAAATATCCGCCATTCACCTTACCGCCAAAATAACTCGGTACGTTGACCCTATATTAGTATATGTGTATATGATAGAATCTACCTAAATAAAAGAGACGGTTTCCGATAGATGCGCGAAACAAAACGTGGACGGACTAAGCAGATGAATGTGGAACTTATCATGAGGTTTGGTTAGACTCAACGCACCCCATCATAATTCCTCGATGAATCACTAGGCAACGGGACAATCACAAAAAGGAACAATGATCATATTGTGCTGAGTACAACGCCATGTGTACATCAATGGGGGAAAGTAGTGTGAGTACAGTGTACTGAGTTCTATATATACACTCACTTGACACACCAATGTGTACATTGAGAAAACATTCGCTTGTGGGTGAGTACTGGTGAGCAATACTCAAAACTGATATGATGTAGTCCCTGAGTGACCATCCGAACCAAGTCGCGAAGTATAGTACACATACACACACACGACTGCCTGTATTCTGGACCAGATTTGACGAATGACATCACTGGAGTTTTGTTACGATTTCGTTCGGACGAGGTCGCGTTATCTGCAAACATTGAAAAAAGGTTCTTTCTAGCTCAGTTAGACCCAGAAGATAACATCACTCATTCGCATTGCGGTTCTTTTCGAATGCACTTCACCAACTACCTGTGAGCTGTTCCTCCGCGATAAGTGCAGGGTTCTATGCCGTCAGTGGAAGCAATGCATGTTGGTGATACCAAGTTCCAGACAGTTTCCACACAGTGCCTCAGGTTTCTAGCCCGGAAAAATCGCTTCGGAACCTGGCTCGATGACTTTTCAATTTGTGTGTGCACTATACTTCATGATTTGGTTCGGACGATCACTCAGGGATTACATCATATCAGTTTTGAGTATTGCCCACCAGGACTCACCCAAAAGCGAGTGTTTTCTCAATGTACACATTGGTGCTTGCCAAGTGAATGTCTACCTAGAACTCAGTATGCCGTACTCATACTACTTCCCCCATTGATGTACTCATGGCACTGTACTCAGCACAATACCATCATTGTTCCTTTTTGTCCTTATCCTGTTGCACAATGATTCATGGAGAAATTAAGATGGGGTGTGTTGAATCTAAGTAAACCTCGTGATAAGTTGCACATTCATCTGCTTAGTCCGTCCACGTTGATTTGATCTCCACCTGTTTCGCTCATCTGTATCAGTCTTTCACATTACCTCAATGGCGAAGCTGACCTCTCTACCCATGGATGTTCGTGCTACGTTTGCTGCGCCTTCGTATGTCGTTCTGTCGTGATTCTCGTGGAATCGCACGGCAATGAGAATCGCTACACAGTCTTCCGAAGAGTCGAGTTGCAACCCACACTGCAGAACAAACATTCCGCTCGCCGTTGTTTGGCGTGCGGAGCTTGACACACTGGTCTGTGGCGGTCAATGACGGGCTTGTGCAGTTGTTTGGCCTATGAACGTAGATAACTGGCGTTTTTTTGTACAGCTATGTATATCTTTTTGTGAATGGTACCGTACATTTTCGAACCCAACTCTTCGTTGCAAGATTCGGGATAGTGAAACCCACGCGACATTCAAAGTTGTGTATCAGGTAGGTGAATCTCACGAAATGCAGTCTGATGTTTTAGTTGTTACGATATTCGAGGTAACACACTACCCATAAGGCCTGGGGCGGCACATTCAGGTGAAGAAGCATATTACAAACGAGAGATTCAGCTGGGTCCCAGGTGAGTCTCCCGTCCAAACCAATTTGGTATGCAAATGAGTAGAGTTCGCTAATTTAGTGCAAGTAATTTCGTTCCAGTAAAACATAAGGTTGACGGAAAGGATTGTGCCTACCTGATGAAAGGGCGAAACCGGTCATGCACTGTCAACGAGTTTCCATCAATCTTATCAGTAGTGTATTACGTTCATGGAAGTTCCACTCATTTTGTGAAATCAGTCTTTCTTTGAACTACTTAGAGATTGATGATAGTGTGGACAGCTTTGGTAATTTTCAATTAGGATTTCATTCTGTCAGTGGGTTACTGTTCCATCGACGACCCGACACCATCTCGTCTTATCCGCTAGTGAGGACAGTCACGTTCGTGTTAGCATTATAACATCTTATTCACCTAAACTGGTCTTCACACGAGAGCAAGAGAGTAAATTAATCGTTAGGCGGAAATGAACGAGTGTACTCTGTGCATGTGTGACACGTGCACGCAGTCGCACAACAATGGCTCCAGGTTCGCGCCAAACGAGCACACGTGAGGCCCCAACATTACCTGCCCGAAAGCTCAGAAGCATGGATCAACCGTTCATTAACATTAAGGTCGCCAAGCTAAGCACGATAGGCCCGTCGATATCACATGCCATACACATGATCACCAGACCATTCGCTTGGGTGAACTTTTCAAATATGCTAATCATCCTGCTTTTTTCTGTTCCTCTAATTATTACCCGTCGGATGTCGACCGTTTTGATACATTTCTATCTTATCTACTCGTACCATGCTGCAAAATTAAGTATTTAAGAAACGGCTGACTGAAGATCCGTGGTTAGAACTCAATCCTGCATCGTCGATTGATCTTGTTCAAGTTTGAGCAACCCGATCTTCGGTTCTTCCTTCATTTGTGCACAAAAACACGTCTAGGCTGAACGAGCATCCCTAGAGGTAAAAACGATGTTTTCGTGACTCCCTGTTATTGACTCTCATGTGTAGGACTCACGCGGTTCCCTCGACTTTGCGTACTGAATTCCATGACTCTGACTGCTTCAAACATCTAGTAACAGAGAATCTGCTGGTTAAAACTAGAAAATAATTAGCATTCAATTGGACCTTTGAGTTGCTCTCCAACAGGGGTCATCGGCTGAGCAATGCAGAGCCTGTACTTTCAAGTGCTTTTCTGATTG